CCCCCCCCCCCAGGGATTAAAAAATAACCCAATTTTGTTTATGTTAATTATGATCATGGTAAATAAAATTTTTATGTTTATTTTTTATTTATTTGGAGACTTAAAATTAAACTTGTAATTTAATTAATTAGTTTGGTAAAATTTAGAAAAATTAAATTAAATTAAATATTCTATAAAATAATTTTTAAAATTAAAACTTACGTCTTGTGAAATTTTAAAAATTTAATTTTGTGTCGTAAATTTTAAAAATATTGAGAATTTGTTTAGTATTTTTGTTTCTTTTAGTTTAGAGATTTAAATTAAATTTGTAATTTAAATAATTCGATGAGTGAAATTTTAAAAAATTAAATTAAATAGTTTATAAAATTAAAATTTACCTTTTATGAATTTGTAAAAATTTAATTATATACAGTAAATTTTAAAAGTATGTAAATTTAGGAATAATTTTGTAATATTGAAAGTTGATGAATAAATAATACAGATTTCATCGTTAAATTAAATTTATAATTTAACAAAATGAAATTAAAAGTTCTATAATTTTAGAAGTTAAAATTAAAGCTAAATTTTTGTTTTTATAATTTAATAAAACCTTATAAATGCGAGGTTTTTAAATTTATAATTTTAAAAAATAAATATGAAGACAAAAACGCGCGAAAATATTTACGGCACGTGGGATATGTTCGCACGTGTGGGATTTTGGGCTGTAATTTGGTGCTCCGTATGTATCGTAATTATATAGCAATCCTCTTCCTCTCTCAGTCGCTTATTGCGAACTGCTCCTTTTCACCTCGTTGTTTCAGGCCCTAATTTATTCCCTCAAGTGCTAGTTTATCCTTCGCTTTGAGGTTTTAATGCTTATTTTTGTTTCTATTTCGATTCAGAAATTTGAGATTTCTGGTCGACAATGGAGGTTGTGAAGGATGATTTCTCCAATTTGGAGATTGGGACTTCGGTCGAGTCATTTCAGAAGTTTTTGGACTCCCAAAATGATCTATTTCGCTCCCAGGTCGATCAACTCCAGAGAGTTGTTGTTACGCAGTGCAAACTCACAGGCGCCAACCCGCTCTCTCAAGAGATGGTACGTTTTTGTGGATATTCAAAATTTAGCTTTGGAATCGGTCACGCACTATTGTACTGTTCTATTTGTATACTAGGTGGTGGCGGGAAGAGTTTAGATTTCAAGTTCAGGTTCTGTTGATCCATTTGTTTATTATCATTGTTCTCTTTCTTTCTGGGTTGCCTGTAATGGCGTTTTTGTCTATATTTTCTATGTGATTAGCTTCTAAACTTGCTGTTATCAGATGAGGGCTCCCTTCACCACCGGCCTCTAGGTTGTTCTCTTTTATTGATTTTCTGAACATATTGAATGCACCTATGACCTACTTGGTTAAGATTACTTGAATGCAGCTTATACTATTACATAAAGTTGAATTCAAACGTGAATTCTAATCTGTGTTGAATGATTTTTTTTTTCAAGGCGGGCACATGTCTATGATACAGTTTAGGATGATATTATGAGTTCCTGGTTTCGTTAATTTCCTACTTTTTTAGTTTAGGATGACATTATGAGTTTACGTACTTTTATTGGCTAATTATAATTATATTGAGGTCATTCATTGGTGCTTGATGTGAGTAAGGATTCCTTTCCCCTTAGATGTTTGTCATTTATTAGCTCAAGATATACCTTGGTCCTTGGCTAGTCTTTTCAATCTTTTAGTTTTCTCACAGTGCATTTTAACATGGTTATGATTCTTTAGAACCTATAAGTTAGGTTCATGGTCATTTTTAGGCGCATTATAATTATATTTGATAACTAACTGACATTCATGCTTTATTTATTTATTTTTTGTCGAAGCACAGGCTGCTGGTGCTTTGTCAATTACGATTGGTAACTCCTGGCTCTTTATTATTGCTCACTTTCCGTAGATTTTATCTTTATTTTGTTATCATATTTAGTCTTCCCTGTTTCCAATTTCAGGAAAAAGACCCCGAGACCTGCTCAACCCCAAGGCTGTAAAGTATATGCAAACTGTTTTTTCTATTAAAGATGCACTTAGTAAGAAAGAATCACGAGAAATCAGTGCCTTATTTGGTGTCAAAGTAGCACAGGTTTGATATGCATCTTGTTTTGAGTGTTCATATTTTCTTTTATCCTATCTTTTTTATCAAGTTTTGACAATAAATAGCCAATACTTCAATCCCATAGTTTTGTTTTGATTGGTTTTATATGGTTTCTTTTTCAACTTTCATTAAGAAGGGGAGAGAATTATAGCTGGTGTTAAGAAATCAACTCAAAGGAGCCATGTAAATCCAGAAGTTCCTTCTATTGGCATTGATAAGAAAAAGCTATAGTGACAAAAATAGAAGAAATTTGTGAGAGCTCCAATGGGAGACTTAAAAATGAACTACAACCGTCCTTCTTTATTATATCTAAAGGTGTTTATAGAATTCTTTGTGGTTGTTTATAATCTGTGTTTTCTTGTTGTTAGGTCCGTGATTTTTTTAATAGTCAACGTTCAAGGGTGAGGAAACTAGTCCGTTTGTCACGGGAAAGATCCGTCAAATCTAATTCTTGCAAACAACTTGAAGTTGGAGGGATTGCAATGAACAACGATCCCAGTATGCCAATTGATGCAGTTCCTTTGAACTCTGATGCATTGGTTCCCTTGAACTCTGATGCACCAATTCCATTGAACTCTGAAGCTCCGGTTCCTTTAAATTTTGCTACACCAGTTCCCTTAAACACTATTGAACCCAGTAATGTCGATAGTGGACCATCGTGTTCAACACAGGATAGTAAACTATCTGACATAGATGGTATTGATAAGCATTTTGTTCAAACTATATTCAGTATGATGCAGAAGGAAGAAACGTTTTCTGGTCAGGTGAAATTGATGGAATGGATCTTGCAGATACAAAATTCTTCAGTGCTATGTTGGTATTGTTCAAATTATTCATTTGTTCTGGGAGTCTGTTTTTTGCTTGTTTTCTTTGTTTCTTTCTCTTCTTTTCTTTGGTATCCATTTTCTTTTCTTTGTCCTGCTATCCTTTTGCATCGTGTTAGGTTCTTGACTAAAGATGGTGCAATTATTTTAGCAACTTGGTTAAGCCAAGCTGCTGCTGAAGAACAAACAAGTCTCCTTCATGTAATCCTTGAGGTATATTGAACTCATCTTTAGGTCTTCTATTCCTAAGGAATTTGTCTAACATGCAGCAGCATTCCAGCTCTTTGATGCACACATGAAAGTTTTTGGCTGACTTGTGTCGGTCATCATCATTTAACTTATTTATTATTCGTTTGTTGCATGGTGTTTGTAGAAATGACTTTGGGATTGGACATGATCTTAACATTGTACGTGTATTTCTAAGTAATCTCATTGTCCAACTCTTCAACATTTTATTTTCCCATTTCAAGAACTATTACTTGTAAATACTTTTGGGCGGCTCTTGATTCCCGGTGCCTCCATTTAAATTTTTGTACAACCTTTTCGTATTATATTCTTTTTGATGAATGAGGTTCTTTTAGAACCCCCTCCCCCCCAACCAAACCAAAAAAATGTCCATGAAGTCCATATTTTTATGTTTTAATTCAATGTGGTTGGTTAATAGGTTTTCCTTCATCATTATTTTTTATGAATTTACTAGAATTCTTAGGATTGGGTAGTAGTAAAGCTTCCACCCGGTGACCATGGAGATGTTAGAGAATTTTGTATTTAAATAAAGAAACCCTGCATTGCGAAGAATTTATTTATATTATTATTTTGCAGGTTTTTTGTCATTTGCCTTTACATAAGGCTCTTCCTATGCATATTTCAGCGATACTCCAAAGTGTTAATAACTTACGATTTTACAGAACTTCAGGTATGATTTTGTTGTGTGGTGTTCATTTGTGCTATCACCTCTGCTCTTTGTTTGGCGGTATCATTTGGTGAACTACAATTAGATACTCTTTCTGTTCCTGTTCCTATTTGGTTGAATTTGAATCCTCACCCAAATTACACGAGACACCTTTATGAAGAAGAGGAACAAATTTCATTAAAAACAAAATGGAAGAATACGAGAGGAGGATGAGTCATCCTCTTAAGAGGCCAAGGATCTTATACATTAAACGATCCAATTGGCACCTTCATGGGCCTGTCTTTATTTTTTTTCATCATAGGAGATGGTAGAATTCCTTTAGAAATATATGGAGATTTTCGAACACCCATGAGCTTCATAATTTCTATATTTACCCCATTGAAAATCTGTTTGTATATTCAATTCTACACCTGTAAAATTTTAGTCGCATTTTCTGACTTGAAGATCAGATATATCAAACAGGGCAAGGTTCTTAATATCAAGATGGAGCAAACTGTTGATAAGATCTCAAGCATTAAAAAAGCCCAATGGCATGAAACTTCTGACCAATTCACAAACTGATATGATTCTGAAACAGAGGCAAGTGTTTATCTTTAACTTATCTATGTGTTCATGCAAATCAGTAAAATTTTTCTCACTATGTAGTGTTTAATCATGGTCTTGCAGTATTGGAGGCATTACGAGTGATGAGTCATGGAAGTCAAATGTTGACGTTCCTGTAAGTTATTTGTGCTATCTAGATTTAATTTGAAAAGAATTTTATCATGCTTTGGAGTTTCAACTACGTTGTCTGCTGTACAGGAAAATTTCGGTAATCCCAGTGTAAATGTAGATAACATGAGGTAAGAATTGATAAAATTGCCTTTATGTTTTTCAAAAGTTGTTTTTTTCTGTTGGTTACCGATAATTTTTTTCTTTTTTTTTCTTTTAGGAAATCGGGAACTCATCAAGCATTTAAACTTCTGCCGGCCTCTTCGGATGATTTGAATCGAAAGAATGTCCTAGGTTTATCTTCATCCAGTATCCTTGGTACAGGCAGTGGGATTTTTTTAATATTAGTGCCTCTTTAATGATTTAAGTTGGCCAATCTGAGTATGGTTTAAGTGCAATTTTCCTTGCTAATGATCGAACCTTCGCATTAAGATTGATAACAGGTTCGACGATCGGAGGAAAATGACACTGGGATTTGATAACATAACCCTTACACGACTGAAACTCACCAAAAAAGCTCTCCCATTAGATTTGATAACAAAGGAGTATAACTAGAGGAACATTTAGAAAGAGAATAGAATGAATATTTAGCCAACTTGGAAGTCTTTTTCCCATCCCAACTCTCCAAGCACCGGGATGCGTAGTGTTGACCCACAAAATCTCTGTCTTTCCCAGAACCTTTGACCATACAATAGCTGTTAAATATTGCGTTTTAGACTCTTCATCGAGGACTAAGGATACTTGGAGTTGTAATCATAACTGAAGCCAAAAAGTTCCTCTGAAAGAACAACAGAATTAAAAGGATTGTTTGGATGCATTTTTTATAACCATTTTGTGGACTAATCTTTTAAAATTATTTTATGTTGTTTTTCATTTCATTTCTTATCGTTCCCCATTAAAAAAAATTCCAATTCGAAGGCTACCTTTTCCCAATGGTAAGGTTACCACTCCCCGTCTCCGTAGTCTGTTATGGAAGCTCTTTTGAATGGAATTTTTGAATGTTCATTCTAAAAACGAAAAGAAAGATACCGCTTTATGGGTTTTATTCATTGTACTTCTTCATTAATTCAATAAAAAATCATGTGACCCTCATTTTATCATGTTACTTGTGCTTGAATTTTCAAGTTTATGCTGTTGCTGCTTTGATTGTTCTAAAGTAAACCTGGACATAAGGAAAGAGAAGATTTTCTTTCTTGCACTATGGACCAGCATTGATCTGTCCATGTTAGTAAATGGAGTGTTCAAAGATAATTTCCTTAGCTGGTTAATAGGATTCAGAGAACGCAGGAAAGTTCAGATGGTAGAACAGCCGGAACAGAAAGTTGCTGGCAGAAACTTGCAGGCTCCAAGAACTCCTGCGAGTCAAGGTCGGCCAATGTCTACCGATGATATCCAGAAAGCAAAAATTCGGGCACAATTTATGCAGAGCAAGTATGGGAAGACTGGCTTATCTAATGGGCGTATGCATACGAAGTCTGGGAATGTAAACAAACCATTACATTCCAGTGCATCATCTCCAGCATCCAAAATCTCTCTTCGTCCCAAATTTGAGGACCAGAAAAGAGCCGTGGTGCTGCTTCCAAAAAACAGTAATAAGGTTGAAACGCCGCTTCATTCAAAGATTGAAGTAGAGTTCAAGGACTCACTCGGGGAGAAATGCAAGAGGGTCCAGATCCAATGGCGGATGCCTCCAGGTTCATTTTCTTCAACACACTTTGCTTCCTTTAATAGTATACATTTAATTTTAAGACGGTAGAACAGACATGGAGCATGATTTTAAGGGTTAAAATACTTTAAAATGCCACTTATTTAGAAGTAATTATGTCGACTCAGTATATAAACACATCATAAAACATTGTAGCGCTCTGTTTTCTAGAAAACTAGACACAATACGGATGAGTTGGATCGAAAAGGAGTAAAGATCATTAAACATTTCAATTTTGTCACAATACTAGTCATCTATATGTAAGGAATAAAGGAGTAAGGATCGAAAAGACCAATGTTGACATCGTGATCTTCCTATAGATGCACAAAGTTCCTACAACTAATTTGTTATTATTTGTTTGTTCGTTTGCTTGTTATTAGGTTTGTTTAATTTTTAATAAAATAGAAGCAAGCGTAATGATCGAAAATATAAATTCCATATATATCTGTTAATTTTCATCTCTGTGTTGTGTAGAATGTTAAATTTTAAGTTCTATGGTAAATGGAGTATCATTGTTTCATTGAATGGGATTTTACCGAACCATAGCATGTGCTGCTGTCATTTTTGTGCCCGTTATCGTAATATGATATCAAACATAATGACGTATCACTTTTAGATAAGGATATGATTGGAAGAATATCATTCTATTAGTATATCCAAATAATTTTCTAGAAAATATTTATATTTGATCTTACTTGAAGAGAATAGATCTCCCCCAACACCATTTGTTTATACTACTCGTACCTTCATAAAAAGGAAATAGAACCTGTATCATGTCTCGCTATTAAGAAAGAAAACTGTACTTTTTATTTGAAGTTTTAGACCTATGTATATGTACAATGAAATGAAATGAACCACCTCTTTAAGCCGATTCATCTGTTATTCGAAGAGAGATTGCGATCACCAGTTCTTTTGAGAACGCTATCAATGGTTCAATTCACCATAATGTTCATGATGGTGGTTAAAATTTTTAAGATCATAGTTCTGTTGACAGAAGATATTCAAGTCAAGTCTCTGAATTTACTTTGGATTTGTTTTTTTGTTTTTGTCTATATGTAGAAATGAAATTCAATGATCTCTGGAGGGTAGGTGGTGGCGACAATAGTAAAGAGGCTGGATTCCAAAAAAATAGGAACTCTAGAGAGAAGGAAACTTTCTACAAGACCATCCTTGAGATACCACCAAATCCCAAGGAACCATGGGACCTTGAAATGGACTATGACGACTCCTTGACTCCTGAAATTCTGACCGAGCAATTGCCTGATAATGAAAGTTCAGAACCCGAGATTCGAAACAGTGCGGTGGATGGTGCTGTTCCATCAGAAGTGATCTCATCTCAGGATCTCAAGCCAAATGCAGCTGCTGATGAACCAGATCTTGAGTTGCTTGCTGTACTTCTGAAAAATCCAGAATTAGTTTATGCCCTCACTTCTAGCCAAGCAGGCAATTTTCCTGCCCGGGAAACTGTAAAACTGTTGGATATGATTAAAGCAGGTGTGGCTAATGGCGTAAACGGGATGGAAAAGACACTTGAAGTCTCTCTTCCATCTCCTACTCCTTCGAGCGATGCTGGAACGGTGCGTGACTTAGGCTCCTTTTGCTTCTGTTGCGAAAGTTCATCCAAAAATGTTGCTTATATTTTGTGCTTAACCAGATTATTCTCCGTTTCGGTTGTGAGGATTGTGGGTCTTCCTTCACCTCCTATCTTCATGATAAATTGGGCATCACAAGATCAAACTTATTAGAAACTTATTTCTGAGTTCCCCATTCCATAGCATCACAGCTCATGACATGAATTCTGGTTGACGAGCTATCTCCCTCCCTCCCTCCCTTCCTTCATGAACATTAGTGCTTTCCTTGAATGCAAGTATTTGGAATGAATGTTACTCAAATAAACATTGAGAATGCAAATTTACTAGAAGTTCTTTGAAATTTCTGTATTTGCTGATGATGGTTTTTTCCTTTACAATTACAGAGTGGATGGAAGCCCGCAGTCTTCAAGAATCCTTTTTCACAGCGAGATTCCATTGCAGAAAGCAGAGTAGCACTCCCTTCCCCACCAGTTGATACTTCAAGCATTGCAGTGTCACGTATGCCACCAGTGTCCCAGCAGCCACCGGCATCAGTTTCTCAATTTTCACTTCCGCAAACTACGATCAACAGGCTCCAACCCGATCACGTAGTTCACTCTCACCAATACCAACGCCAACAGGGTGTTTTAAATCCGAATGTTCGATTACCGAACTCGGAAGTAGCCTTAGCATCGAGGAGTTTTCCTATTGCCAAACTACCCTTAGTTAATCAATCAACAGCAGCTGCCTCTTCAGTGAGGATTGTAGGCGGAAATGATGCAAAACCTATTTCATTTGCATCAAATACACTAGAAAGAGTACCAATCTCATTCCAATCACCGCCTTCCCCAACCCCAACACGAATGCCACCAATACAGAAGCAACGACAGCAGCCACAGCTACAACCATATCGGTCAGAGCATCCACATCAAACTCGTGTAAATATCTCATCATCATCCGCTGAGAAATCAGCCCCTGGTTTATGTTCATGGAGACCAAGGCTGCAAGACATTGGTTCCCACTATAACAGTGGAGGTAACCACAATAAGGAAAGTAAATATGTTGGAGGTCCCATGGCGGGAAGAGGAGGGCCTTCATGGGGGAGAAATGAATTTGAATCATGGAGTCCTGAGAACAGTCCGGTAAGAACTCAAGAGTACAGCAGGGCAGACAGAAGCTATGGGGCTGCTGAGCAGCAGAGACAAAGCAGCAGTCCTTATGGATATGGAGAGCAAAACAGACATGGAAACAACAGCAGAAGGTGGCATGATCGGCAATATTGAAGCTCTCTGAATTGTTGTTTCCTCCTGAAAGAGGGAGAGGGTGGAAAATTTGGCTGCTGCTCACAATGCTTGGTTTTGGCCATTAAAAGGGACTGAAATGGCATTGAGAATGAGGCTCCCTCTGAAGAGAATGGGTTGAGATTGGTGTTCCATATTTGCAAGTTGTAAACTATACTCTATCTATTCAAGGGGGGAGGGCCCCCATGAATGAAAATAACGCAAATTCACAACGGCTGACCTATCTTTCTGGGGGATTTTGGCTTCTGACTGTAAAATTTCTCTCATGTCAATCAATCATTATTAGTGTTATTTAAGTGTCTTTGAAAGTGTTCATCATCTTCCCACTTAAAAAATCCAACTTTATAAGATCTTTGAATTATGAGCTATCACCTAATTCTCAGATCTTTGAATTATGAATATAAAGTAAAAACGTAATTCTGTATTTAGTAGGTAATCAAGTCATCACCTAACGCAACACACAGAATTAAAAGCTAAATAGTAAATCTGCTACAAAATTTGAATCTTTAATAGTAAATAAACACAAAATTTTAAACCTTAGGCCTTGAGGAATGTTGATTAAACATATAATTGAGGGTTTAAAGAAAGCATATAAAGGAGAAAAAGAAAAAAAAAACAGACTGTAAAATAAAACAGAGGCAGCAGAAATATGTACAGAATCTGTGCTTCCGCTCCGTTCCGCAGTCGTTGGTTTCGTTTCTTCAACTTCCAATCTAGATTGTGACATTCGATACCAAATTTGATTATCGCAAAGCTTCTGATCATCAAAATCGACCTCTTCCCCATCAAAATAGGATACGGATTCCACCGTCTCAATCCCCATACTCCAATCCTTCTTCACCAGGCTTTCGTCTTCGACTCTCGAAGAATTTCGTGTAATTCCCCCTCAACCCAATCAATCTTCAGAAGGTGGCATTAAGGCCATTCACACCGCTACAACGACAATATTGATTTGGATTGGATGGTGAGAATATATCCCTGTTGGGTTCTCGGCCCTGACTTTGGCTTCGCTGCTGCGTAAAGGCTGCGACGGGTCATCTATCAGAAAGCACAGCTATAATCACTGAACCAGCTGACTTGGTGTCCAATGTGATAATTTAGCTACTGTTCTTGGATTTCTTGAATTGTCTTCTTGGAAGTCAAAAAGTAATATAGATGCTTTCTTCAATCACCCATTATAGATAATACCATTGTTTTCAAGATTTTGAGAAACCTAGCATTGTAGCATTGGGAATCAAATTTCTTGGCTTCCCTAGAAAACACCCATTATTTTCCCGTATGTAGGAGTTGTTAGAAACTGCTGAATTGTACAAACCCGACTTATAAGGTGTCATCGGATTACTGTTCATCATTAACTCATTTTCACCCAATCGTCCCATATATGTCCAACAAAAATGTTGGACATGGCAAACTAGTTTAACTAAAGTGCAGACAGTTCTTACTGCTCATTATAACAATGATTAACTCATAATCATCATTGTTCGTAATTATCATTACACGTTTTTTAGACACCAGAAATGCAAGGAAAGTGGCCAAAGAAGCAAAAATTGAGATCTTGAAGGCAGCTCACGTTAACATTCAATGTTGGGATATCAAATTCCACAACCCAGCAATAGATGACAAAAGGGAAAAACAAAAAAGTCTTAGAAATAACTTGTTTTATAGGGACAATCCCCATGGCCAAATAATTTTTTAGGTGTCATTGGCTCACCATTGGTTAAATTAAGAAAATGAATATTTTGTAAGCACATAACTAGTTGTGGCCATTATTTGGTTGAAATGAATCCTTTTGACTTCGATTATATTAAAGTTCTAGTTAACTATAATAATAAATGAGAATTATGGAAACAAAACCAAAATAAATATCATAAAATAAAAATACACAAACATTAACCATGTTTAAAATTAGTTAACACAGACATGGCTAATATAAATTTCATATAACTAGTATACAAGGGACAACAATGATACCACATATAACTTGAATAGTTGTATAATTCAAATTTCTAAAAACAGAAATATTATAAGATGCAATTTAAATTGCAAATAATTTGTTTAATCTAAATTATTTGACAAGAATATACAAGTGTAGATTTGAAAATCTGGAAATTTAGTTAAGATAAATACAAAATACTTGCGGAACTAAAAAATGATTAGATTCACAAAACAAAATATAGAGTAAAATGCAGTTTAAGAAAAACGCAAAAACAAACTTGAAAAAAACGCAGATAGGACGAGATCTTGAGAAGGAAAAGGAAGAAAGAGTTGAAGAGCAATGAGGATTCATGGAGCCATTGATCAGATAATTGTAGTCTGAATTTTTGAAGTCTACAAGCATAGATTCAGAAAAAAAAAAAGATCATCACCTCAATATCTCCTTTCGAAATCCAATCGAAGAAAATGAACATCAGAGACTAGAGTTTAGGGCTCAGAAGGATCAATTGGTGATTTTCATAATCACGCGAAGATGAACTTCATTCATAAAATAGGTAGTTTCCAACATCATCGCCTCATAAAACTCAAAACCCTAACAACAAAAACACGTTGCAATCCAAAATCGAAAGGTAAAACAGAAGAGGAGGGAAATTCGGAGATGATGATCCAATGCCGGGGTTTATATATAGTAAAGCTCTAGGGTTAGGGTTTTCGAGAATGATTCAAAACGGTGCGCTTTGGATGTTTGGGCCTGGACCTAATTTTTAGCTGGGCCCAAATCCAGCTAAGAGTTTTTAATATATATATATATATATATTTTTTTTTTAATTTTCTTTAATTTTATCGAATATTTAAACTTTAAAAATATATATCTAATAGATTTTTCGAACATTATAATAGATCCTGGTAAAAATCAGTAGATTTATTATATAAAAAATTAAAATTTATACCATAAATTAACAATTTCTTGAAAAAAGAAAAAAAAAAAGAATATATATATATATGTATATATATATGTATATTTGTATATATATACCCACGTTGGTAAAATTAAAAAATTTATAATAGACACAAAATTGAAAATTTAAAAACTTATTTAACATTTTTATTAAAAAGTAATAGCTAAATGAACATACAAAAAAAAATATTAATCTATTTAATATTTTTTAAAATATTGGCGTAATTTCGCCATCATCGTGACGAACAAAACAAATTTAGAATAAAGAGATGAAAGTGAGGGCATAGAAAGTCAACGAAAAAACACTCAAAATATCGTCGTTATATTAAATTCCCGTGAGAACGTATTTGAATACACATACAATGACAACGTTCTGATACCACTGGATGTAAGATGAAAGTGTCTAATTTAGAGAATGGTCATGCGTTTATAATCTAAGAATATACTGTCCCTTGGTATGAGACTTTTTGGGGAAGCCCAAAGCAAAGTCACGAGAGCTTATGCTTAAAGTGGACAATATGATACCATTGTGGAGAGTCGTGTTCGTTTGTCTAACACTTGACACAACTACAAACCTCTTAAGCACCCGCTGCAATATCACATCCCACCTCGGCTCCTAGTGGCCAGGCCGCCGACACCGACACTGGAGAGGACGGGGGACTCAAGAGGCTCAGACTAGTCTTGTTGGAGAACCCTTAAAGCTCGGACAACTCGAAAAGCTATTTGTTTATTGCACGTGAAGATGGTTAACATGAGATAGTATAAATCTCAACACACAACCCTACAATACCTATTGTAATAAGTGAACATGTTATTATCCCATAAAGAAAAACCCTAAAGCTCGTAAGTCATTCCCACTTTGAGCATACGCTTACGAGGGATGTAAAAAACCTCTTCACTTTGTCTCAAATTTCTTCTCAATGCATTATAAGCATAATCGATCAAAACCCTTTTTGCAAACCCCGACCCTTTGCTTGCCACAACCTCATTTTGTCCGATCAAGTGAACAATCCCGTCTCTCCAAGCTTTATCCACCATCTCTATCTCCTCTTCAATGTTCCTCCTCTTCTCCTCGACTCTACCGTCGTCGTTTTCCAACGTCCACAACTCCTCTTCGATAAACCCTTTCAATCTCTCCACCAGTACTTGCTCGAACGACTCTTGTTCGTGGATGATATCTCTATATCCATATCGAACCACACAACGAAACACATTGATGTCACGAGGCTCAACTCGTCGGAATAGAAATCGCTCTTCCATCGGAACTTTGCTAATCGGGAGGGACTTGAAGGACACGAAAATAAGGACCCTTTGGAGAGTCGGGATGTTGACGAGATAATGATTGAAGATCGGGGGAATGCCTTGGACGAGCTCGGAGTAGAATAGGGCGAGACCAGGGACACGGTTGATGGTTGTGAGGGATGCAATGTCCTTGAGCTTTTCAGCGGAAATCTTGTGTTCGAGTTCGTAGTAGTATTTTCTTCTATGAACATCGTGCCAAATGTACATTATTATCATCAAAACCCCAGCAAAAGCTAAAGGAAGATAACCCCCTTGGTCGAACTTGTAAAGAACTGAGCTTAGGTAGAGAAATTCCAATAAGCCAATGGTTAGAACATAGGAGATTATAATAAGTACGTGCGATTTCCATATCATGATCATGATGAGCACGAGAAAACTTGAAGTGAGTGCCATCACGAACACCACAGCTATGCCTGTGTGGAAACAAAAACAATGTTAGATTCATCACCAGAATGAACCAAAAGGGTCGAGGAAATATTACCATAGGCATTCCCGATTCTCGTTGTATCTTTAAACCCTAAAGTGACTCCAAGACAAGCCAACATGAGAAGATAGTTAACTTCGGGGATGTAAACTTGGCCCTCGTACTTCGAAGAAGTATGAACAACTTTAACTCTAGGGAAGCAACCATAGGAGAGGGACTGTTGGATGATGGAGAAGGTGCCCGAGATCATAGCTTGGCTCGCAACGATAGAGGCAAGCACAGCCACCACGAACGTAGGCCAATAGAGAGGACCTACGACATCAAAACTACGAGTTAGATCGAGAAGAGACGGAAAGGAAACGACATACTGTAACCTATCGTACCAGGAATAGACTCGAAAAAGGTATCCGAGACGAGATCAGCATGCTTGCGGAGAAATGAGGCTTGACCAACGTAGGCGGAGACGAGAGCCGGGTAGGTCACGCAACACATGCTTAGTCTTATGGACATCACTGTGAAGTGTCCCACGTCCGCAAATAAAGCTTCAGTACCTGTATCAATTTAGCTCGTTACATATCATATTCAGCCTCATGATTTTAAAACGTGTATGTTAGGGAGAGGTTTTCACATCTTTATGAAGAATGTTTCGTTCTACTCCCTAACCGATAATACTAAAAATTGAACCTGTAATAGCAAGAACGACGCCGCCGAGAGAGATCCAAGCATCGATTTTGTTTCTTTTGAAGTAATGAAAGATGTATTTAGGGTTGACAGCTTTGATGACAGAAGGGTCAAATTTAATAAAGTTGTAGAAGCCAATGCCACCAATGAGTGCAAACCAAATGCAAATAATGGGAGCAAAGGAGTATCCAACTTTATGGGTACCAAATCTTTGCACCATGAACAGGCAAACCAAGATTGCTACTGATATCCACACTATTTTCTCTGTTAAATCAAAAAATCAAACAAAAACAAGTAAATATATAACGGCCCAGATCCACAGCTTTCCTCTCCTTAAAACGCGTCTACTAGGGAAAGGTTTTCACACCCTTGTAAATAGTGGTTTGTTCTCCTCCGACATCACAAAATATTTATGATAAATTTCTAATTTTTTCAATTTTTGATTCATTTTTTACGGAAAAAACATGTTTTTTATACCTTTTTTGTTCGTGAAGATTCAAAATGTACAAGTTTAATCCATACGTTTCGAGAAATAGATATGAAAAATCATTCAAACTATTTTTTAAAAATTAAATTTTTTATTTTATAATTAAATTAAAAATAACGTGAATGACCCTATTCAAGTATCAAAAAAATATTTTTAAGAAACGAACATACCTTGTGTCATAGTCGAGGTAGCATTCTTGATTCCTCCGACGGCGGACAAAACTGTCATAAAAATGGGTCCTTCTAGCATGGTTAGTCAACGAGCAAAAAGGAGCTTTAAAAGCTTATCTCGACTTATTGTTCGGGTTAATAACATAGTCACCAGCTATTTTCGAACACACAAAATCTTAACTATTATTCCACTTTGTATCTCTAATGATTTAAAAGTTAATTAATCGTACATCATCATCGTTTAAGACTACTTGACTCGATAGATGGAGGGAGGACCCCTAACTCAAGCATGAAATCCATGTTGAGTCTATAATCATCAAGAAGGGCACCACCAAGCAAGATCGAGATTAGCACCTTTCCCTTGAATAGGGTTTCAAACTTGCCTGCACTTTTTCAAATATCCAAAAAGGTCAGACTAACAAGCAAGAAGGGGGCGTGACTCTTTGTATCTCAATTTTGTTTTGGTCGATAAACATGTTCTTTAAAAAAAACATTATTTTCCGCTAACACGAATATAGCTCCATTGACGTGAATATATATATATTATATAATATAATATGTATGATGAAAGTGTGGGCATAACATAGAGTAAAGTATAGGGACCTGAGATGGAAGGAGTTAGAACGCCGTCGCCGATAACCATGGAAGTGCCAAGCATGGTGGCGAAGAGTAAGAAAATCTTGGCGGCGCGGCTGTTTTCCAGCTTGGATTTCAGGCAAGACGCCATTTTCTGGCGGTTGGTCGGCGGCGCCACCTGAAAATTCGACACTTCTTGATCTTCCACTTGCTGGCTCGGTATCAGCCCGATTTTGGCGTATCGGCAGAGAAGGGAGTATAAAGCAAATGTGCCACCTTCATACAAAATAAATAATTAAAATAAAATAATTTTTTTTTTAAAGTTTTTGTTTTAATAAATCATTTAAATTATTCGTACCTTCGCCATTGTCGTTGGCTTGCAAGACGAAGAAGACGTACTTGAGCAACGGGATGAATGTGAGGGTGTAAAGAATCAACGACAGCACGCCCAAAACGTCGTCGTTATGCTTGATTCCCTCTGTAAACGTACTCGCATACACGTACAACGGCGACGTTCCGATATCGCCGTATACTACTCCGATGCTCTGAAACGCTAATTGCAATATCACCACCCAGCTCGCCACCTGCCCAGACGCCAGAACACAACACAAACTCTAAATCTCTAACTAAAATAAATAAATATTTATATATATAATTAGGAATCAGCTCTCCACGATAATATTATATTGCCGCGATAATATGATATTGTTTTACTTTGAATTTTCCTAAAAAATCTCATATCACATAGATATTATTTAAAAAATAATAATAATTGGGAAGGATACGAGTCTCAATTAAGAAGAGGTTGTTCGAAGGTTCCGTAGAGCTCGAAAAAGGCTTTAAGATTGAGAGCTTATAGTTAATTAACAGATGTGAGACTTCTCTCCATCCATCCTGGATCAAAATATACCATAGAGCCTCCCTAAAATTTATGGTATATATATATATATATATATATATATATATATATAATATTGTTGAGATATATTATTTATGAAATATATCGTAGATATTATATCTTAATATTCTTTCTATAAATAGGATACAAACCTAAACACAAACACAAGTACAAATGAGGAAAATATAAAATAATTAAATATTAAAAAATAACGTAAATTAAATCATAAATAAATAATATTAAAATATAATATCTAAGATATATTCCATAAATAAATAATATGTTGTATATGTGTATGTATATGATAAATATATATATATATATATGATTGTCAAAATGAACCTTGTGACCATTGCTGCCGGCGACGGCGCCGGGGATGGTGCGGGATTCGACGTCCAACGAATCATTACGTCGGAGGTTTCTTTCGGCGAGGTTAGGGGTGGAGTCGTCGGAGCTCTCTTGGAGATCGGGATAGTTATCGGCCGTCCGATCGACTTCCATCGTTTTATCGCAGAAGAGGGAGGAATGGAATATTTTCGGGTTGACCCGATATAGTTTGGAGGGTTGGAATTCAGTATTTATAAGAAATTATTGAGGGAGAGGGGGAAGAAATTTTGGAGGAGTGGGCCCCACTCTCTACACTTTTTTTTTTTTTTTTTTAAATTATTAAATAAATTGGTTTTTTTAATTTTGTTTTTTTTTTTTAAGGATAAGATATAATTTTTTTAACATTTATTTTAACATTTGAATTGAATATATAATAATATGAAAAATCCCACCAGTTCACTAATTTTAATAAAATCAAATTTGGCACAAAATTAACTTTAATTCGTACCTAAATTAACTATTAAATAATATTAAAAAATTAAATAAATAAAATAAAAATTAATTTTAAAATATGATTTTGTTGAAATTAAAAACTTTTGACTTTAAAATGTAAATAGCGTGTTTAGATTTCTAAATTGAACCGGATCTAGTCGGGTTGAGTACGGGTTCAAAATGCAAATGATCGGGTCAACCCTACCAAATTCAATAACCTAAAAGAAAACAAACTCAAACCTAACTCATGGTCATATGCATTTGGCAATTGCAGCTATATTACATGCATGATGTCGTAATCACCGTCGGCATTAGTGTCTCCAAACTTCATGTCACTCTCTCTGATCCGGAGTCGTGAATCCGTGACTTTGTCTTTTAATCTCTATCTCTCAATAAATATTTGAATAAGTTAATAATAATAATAATAATATATATATATATTATGGTAGCATACTAAAAAAACATTTTTGTAATTATATAAGTAAACATCAATAAAAAATTGATCTAATTAAAAAATAATAATTTTATTTTCATTATAATTAATAATTGAAACTCATTTTAATTACAAAAAAGTAAAGTAGTTTAAGCTACTTTTCTCATAATTTTTTAACAAATTATTATATATTTTCTGAAAAAAAAAAAAGAATTTTATTTATTGCATGTGAGAAGAAGCCTCTATCCTTGACTCTCCCCTTGACAACGACTATAGTGTTGAAAAGTCAAAGATGAATACCCAATGATATGCTGCCACGTCACCATTTGAAAAATAAAATTCTCGCCAATAATGTTGCAAGTGGTGGAGCTACTTTCCCACCATGAATAAGATATTTTTGTTTTATGATTTTTTTCAAAAATTTTAAAAATAAAATTTTAATTTTTCTAAATATATATTAAAATCATTTAGGAATAAATAAATATATGCTAATACATATTAAAATTATACTTTTATTAAAATAAAATTTTGAATAAATCACTCGGAACAATTCGTACTAAATCATGGTTGAATTAGATTAGATTCGTTGGACGGGTTGTGTAGAAAAAATTTACAACCTCAACAATTGGATTAGATGTTTTAAAAAATGTCTCAAATCAACCTAACTCAACCCCGAACATCTCTACCTAATCCTACCTCTAACAATTATCGGGCTCTATTTAAATTGTAATCAATGTCTAACTACAATTTTTTTTCTTGCTCTATACGTGAAAGATGTTTGTACTCAATCATAACAATTTTATGCTGGGTGATCTTATAAGTGTTTTTTTAAGAAACACCGTGATAGGAACAAAACATATTAAAAGAGTTCGTATTGGTTTGTAAAAATAATAGTCTTCTCTATTAGAAACGTTTAAACCGATTAAACAGATATTTTAAATATAAAACAAAAATAGAATAATAATGTATTATTCATAATTATCCTAACAAAAAATAAATAAATAAATACTAAATTTTGTAAGGGAAGTGGGTTGGTGTGTTTGGCTTATTGTGTAAAAGATATTTAGAGATTCAAATTCCATTTTTCTCTCCCAAAAAAGGCTTCAAAATTCAACTCTTCCATTTTTTTTATATTAAAATTAAATGTAGCATGAGTAGTAATAAAAATATCTTATTTTTATTTTTATTTTTATTTTTTATTTTATAAATTAGTGTGAATGCTTTTTTATTTGGTCTATTTTTGCAAACGAGTCCATGTCTTGATTTATATCCAATTTGTAAGCGCTTCCATCGTTTTCTTTAATTTGAATTTGTATAATTTCAATATGGTCCAACCCATATGTATTTTAAGATTGCATTATGATCCCTATTCCTTACTAGGTTTAACAAATTCAAAAAAGTCACTAATATAAAATGTATAAGCATTTATCCGTTGCTAAATCAAACATACCTGTTCAATTGGTTAAAGCATATTATCAAACAAGAGGTCGGAAGTAGCTCAAATCTCCCACCTCACATATAATTCATCGTCAGTTTGCTTTGCGTTCTGCTCTTGAATGCAAATTTATAAAGATTCATTTTGATTACACAAATGAATACGAATGGACATTTCATGACGTGACCTAGAGTAGAATCAGAATAAGTGTCATATATTTGGAAATGAAAGAGCTTTCGTTAACTTGCATTTACGAGTTTATGATACAATATTATCATAGAGAATTTACAAAATTTGCACCATGCTAGAGACAAAATTTGATGCATGAACTTGGGAAAGTGGTGATTGAAATCTTACAAAAATAGCTGGCTAATGCAAGTGATTAAACACACTAACCCACAGTTGACCTATGATTTTGGATGATTTCTGACCTTATCAAATATGGGATTCTGAAGAATTTCCCTAGCTGAAGGCCGTCGTGCTGGGTCGGGATCCACCATCGCCTGTTAGAGTTGTCAATTAATCAGAAAAATTAGCTATCTTATCTCTAATGAACTTCCAAGATAATGATGTAAACAGTGAACATTACTTGTGGTCACACAAAGTCGATACGAAATCATGTTTGTACCAAGGCTAGTTTTGACTCACTTTTTTACATTTTTTTTTTATGGAAAGTAGAATTTGTAGGAAAAAAAAATGCAAAAATAGGTAAGAATCAAATGCCCCAAAAATCTAAGATTTCCTCTGCATAGGTGAGTCAAAGACTAAGATCGGGCTAACAAATATTATCTACTCTTTGGACTTTCTCTCACAGTTTTAAAACGCGTCTGGAAAAGGTTTCAACATCTTAATAAAAAATATTTCGTTCCCCTCTCCAACTGATGTGGGATCTCATAATCCACTCCCTTGAGGGTCAAGCGTTCCTACTGGAACACCACTCGCTCGATAATCGGCTCTGATACCATTTTTAACAGTATAAGCCCACCACTAATAGATATTATCCTCTTTGGGCTTTCTCTTCTGGGCTTCCCCTTAAGGTTTTAAAACGCATCTATCAGGGAGAGGTTTCTACACCTTTATAAACCTTTGTAAAGAATGTCTCGTTCTCCTCTCCAACCGGTAGGATCTCACGTCAGGTCAAGTCAGAAGAATAGTCGATGGAAATGAAATGAAAAGAAAACACAATTACGCATTCAGTACCTTGATTAAGTTTTGAAATTGCAATGAATGACAAGGAAAGAGTGGCAATTTTCCCTCCTTTAGATTCATGAAACGTGTTTCTGGAAACGTCGAACCTCTCACAACCTCATAAATAGCAGCTCCCAAAGAGAATATATCAACCTTGTCAAGATAATCGTATCTCTCATTCAGAATTTCTTGAGGCATATAGCGTGCATCGCCCTCCTCAATTGGTAGGCTTTTATCAAGAAGAGTAGCGCATCCAAAATCACCAAGTTTATAAACACCATCTTTGACATAAATATTGTCAGGTTTCACGTCTAAATGAGCTACTCCTTTCTCGTGCATAAACAGCAATGCTTTTGCAATCTGTTTGTAGTTCATTGTCAGCATAGAAGCCATGAAATTTAAAAAGTTCCTAGTTCTAGGACTTGAAAATTGGAATGGATAAAGTTGAAATTACACAAAATTCTGAGATAATTATTTTTCAGAAGTGGCATTTCCTATTAAAAGCTACGTATTGAATGAAGGGCAGAACTAACTAATTAACTCTTGAAGACAACAAATCAGGGAGATGAGCGAAGCAACTCGAAATCTCACCTGATGCAAGGCTTTCAGTGCATCAGCCTCAGAGAACGGGTGAGAATACCTGCCAGTGGATAAACTACAATCACAGAGTTCCATTTGAATGTAGAGTTGCTCATTTTCAAACCACGAAGAGTAGTATCCAACGATGTTTTCATGAGATCCTACACGTTAAATAGTGGCCAACAGTCGGGAAAAGAAACAAGTTGCTCAAGAGAGAAATAATAACTACAATAGAAATAGAGATATAATAAAACAGAAAATCATATCTAAATATATTTACTAACCTAAAGCTGCCAAAGCTTGAACTTCCATCAAAGCTCTCCTCCTGCAAATGGAAGGAAAAACTTCAAATACACATTTGCTAGTGTTTAGAGGTTAAACATATACGGACACACCAAAAGAAGTAACCTTTCTATGTCTTGATGCAATGATCTTGTGCTTTGTTTAACAGCATATAAACAACCATCAATTCTCTTCAATACCTTGAAGACACGGCTAAAATTTCCAGTTCCTATTTGCTGGAAATAGACTGAGGTTAATATAAAACTTGACAACAGCCTGAATTGAAATATAAATAAAAGAAAAAACCAATCTATTTGCAGAAGCTTGCAAACAAAGCAGATGTTTCTAGATACCTTTATCTCATGAAAATCGGTGTGATATCTTGAAAGACCATCTCCACTAAACAGTGCGGGAAAAAAATCTACACAAAATTAAAACCAAGAAACTAATTCATTAAACATAAAGTCCTCGTTAAAAAAGACGACTTCAAAAAATGTTTTATTAGTCTTTAAGAATTAATTGGACTGTACCTGCACATTTTGTTCGTTGATTACCAAATGGGTCTACACCTATGTCTGAAGCATCATTCAAGTATGGATTCTTCATGCAAGGAGGAGGCATAACTCGACAGCGTAAAGCAACAGCAGATTGAGAAACATAGTTTTGTTTCTTTGGCATTGCCATTGTCTCTTTCTCCATATCTTCATCATCTGTTCCAAAAGTGTCATTTCCTAGCTCCACAACTTGTTCACGGCCAGACAAACTTGGACTCAGAGGATGTACTAAAACACCGTCTGTGACAAATGAACATTCAATGAAGAAAATGAATTATACTACATCAATCAACAATTAATGTAACTAATATTGAAAAGGAACATGATGTTGTCAGATTTTGACGCCCCAAAATAATTTCAGATCCATGTCTTAAATTCCACATTGATAAATGATTCAGATACTGGTCATAGTTTTATGCAAGCAACTAACCATATATATTATTGATTAGGAAAGTTGAGTTTCGACATGATCATAATTGAGCATATGCCACTGAACTAATGCATGTGACTTTCTGTTCTCTTATAACACTCCCAGATTAAAGTTCGAGATCACCACTATATAAACTTACCACGTATTTTTCTCTTAGTTTTAACAGTATTAATCTTCTCTGGAGATTTGGGGCAAGGAGTGCTTTCCTGCCAAGACAAGGACACCCAGAAAATTAGAGAATTCACATTATTTTCTTCTTCTTCTTCTTCTTCTTTTCCTTTTGAAAACCCATTGTTATGGACAGGGTTATCTTTCTCCATTAACTGCTCACCTTGTAGCAATCCACGCCATTCAGCAGATTTTGGTTGTCCGGAGTGATATAGTCAGGGGTGCTGCAACATACAAACAAAATCCCACGTTAAACGCCAAAAATGATCTGGCCAGTTACAATGCAGCCTTCAATCTTACTCTTTGGTATCCTTGTATACCAGTATCAATAGTAACAAGCAAAGTAATTTCTAAAAACATTCAATAATTAGTAAATCATACTCCATTTTTCTGACTATCTAAGTTACTTTCACAGGAAATGACCTCCATTTCGTAACTGACAAGCAACTTAAACCATGGGATATAACACGAATAATCAACTACCATCAATAGACGTTCAAATTACCTAACAACTCACAAGGGAAACTAGTAGAAAACTCCAAAACTCGAAGTAACTCCTAAAGAGTATTCAGTGATTCGTCAATCACTTACTACACTATCCCGTCAATCAAACTACTTCGAACAGAAAACTAATTTCCAGAACCTCGAGAAAGATAACAATCAACATCAACAGCAGCTGAAATCAACTCACAAATGAAAAACAAAAATAACGATATAAATCTCACCAGAAGAAATCCTGACTAAGAATGAAATCTCTGTCCTCAAAGTTAGTAGACGAGGAAGGGAGAGCGCCAGAATCGTTTACCGTCGCCATTGCTTCAGATTCAGGCAAGTCTTGGAAGCAAGCGGCGGTGGAAGAGGAAAGTTGGTGGTGGAGAGGGGCGAGAGAAACCTGCCCTAACTGGACCTGCAAGTGCCTCGTCAATGTCCCTTTCATCTTCTTCCTCGTTGCGGTCATCGTCGTTCTTAGGGTTTTGGATTTTCTCCTCATCGGAATCTGCAACGAAGCTCTCGTCAATCCCCTCTTAACACGCTCTCCTCTTCCACTCAAACTGTACTGAATATATATATTTATATTTATATTTATATTTATTTCAGATCAGAAAATAAAAATAAAAATAAAATAATTCAATTTTGGAGGGTTTTTTTTTTTCCTGGGTAATATTTTTTGGCGTCGTTTGAGATCTCCAATTCAAATTTCGCGGGGAGGGCTGTGATTGTGTGTTGCCGTTACCAGAGTGAGCTCCTTGAGTATAATGACGATTTTAAGATCAACGGTTTGGATTGCTTGATGATGGATGAGTTTGATTTGCGTGCCTGGTAAGCTTGTGCCTTTTTCTGGCTTGGTGGGCCGTAAAGTCATCTAATTTCTTTTTAGAAAAATAAATAAATAAATAATATATATATATATAATATATATTTTATAAATTTTTAGCCAGATTTCATTTAATATATAGATTTGTTTCTGAAAAAAATGTTTTTAATTTTATAATATAAAGTTATTGAAATTCCCAAAATGTCATTATTTATAGTGAAAATCCAATTCTTGAATTAACAATTAAAATAAATAAATAAAATTTGTAACATTAAACGCCATTAATTAACATTAAACATGTCAGTGTGTACGAATCAAAATCTTTGCACCAACTCAAAATTTCATGTCAATAGAGTTTATATCCCAACTCACTGCTCATTTCAATATTTATTTATTTTAAAAATTATATTTATTTATATATATAAATAATCAAAATTTACCATAATACATCGTTAATATTAGTTGTGTTTTTTTAACTAATATTTTGTCGGGTATATCATATATTATATTTTTAATTTTATTTATATTTTTTGAAATTTTTTAAATTTTAGGAATATTATTAAAAAAAAAAAGAAAAAAAAAACGATCTCTTGAAACCACTTGTTTGAGTTGTCGTACTTAAAAAATGAATTTTTTATTATTGTTTCAGAATTACAGTTTTATTGTTAGTCCAGACTCCAACATACCAAGCCGACAGGTCGACTTTCTAATTCCCTTCGCTTGTGCACAAAGCTAATTACGTCATTTACAGCTACATGTCGTTCGCCCGCAAAATATTGGCAGAATCACAGACATTCCAAAATGACGAAATTACCCCCAAACACCGTCACAACCCCGCAGTCAAATCCGTAACTTCACTCAAACCTGAATCTCCCGGGGTTGGAAATTGTTCTGTTCTTTCTTATAAATCATCGCCATTATCTTCGTTTTCATCTGAATCTCGAGTTCCTCTGATTCTCCATGGAGACTCTCTCCGCTCTCCCTTCCTCTTCATGGCCGGACTCCAACTCCAATACCAACACTCCGCCTGCTGTTGCCGACTCCGAACGCTTCGATTCCGATTCCGTTTCATCGTTGCCGCCTCAATCGCCGCAGAAAGCGGAGACGGCTGGTTTGTCCACGGCGGCGGTTGATTCGCTCGCTTTGCAGCCTTCTCTTCTTCATCTCTCCTTCAATCAAGACCATGGCTGCTTTGCTGCGGGCAGTGATCGAGGGTTTCGGATCTACAATTGCGATCCGTTTCGTGAGATTTTCAGAAGAGATTTTGAGCGTGGGGGTGGTATTGGCGTTGTGGAGATGCTTTTCCGGTGTAATATTTTGGCTCTTGTTGGTGGTGGGCCTGACCCTCAGTACCCGCCTAATAAGGTCATGCTTTGGGATGATCATCAGAGCCGGTGTATTGGGGAGCTGTCGTTTCGGTCTGCTGTTCGGGGGGTTCGGCTACAGAGAGACCGAATTATTGTTATTTTGGAGCAGAAGGTTTTTGTGTACAATTTTGCGGACTTGAAGCTGCTGCATCAGATCGAAACTATTGCGAATCCTAAAGGGCTTTGTGCTGTTTCTCAGTTGAGTTCTTCGCTTGTGCTTGTCTGCCCTGGATTGATTAAGGGGCAGGTTAGGGTTGAGCATTATGCCTCTCGACGAACAAAGTTTATCATGGCTCACGACTCGAGGGTTGCTTGCTTTGCGCTTACGACCAACGGGCAGTTGCTTGCTACAGCGAGCTCCAAGGGAACTTTGGTTCGGATATTCAATACAATTGATGGAAATTTGCTCCAAGAGGTGTGTTGATCTTGGAATTAAAATTGTTCATCTGGGTTTGTTCTGTGTTGTCGGAATCTCAGTGTAATGATGTTGTTCTAAACTAAGCTGCAATCTAATTCTCCCCATTTACTTTTGAGTTTGTAGGAATTTACATTACTCCTTCATGAATTATCTAACTTGGCAGTGAATTTACTTCGTATTATCTTGATATGATGTATAGGTACGGAGAGGCGCAGATAGGGCGGAGATATACAGTTTGGCCTTCTCATCGACTGCTCAATGGCTGGCAGTCTCCAGTGACAAGGGGACCGTCCATGTATTCAGTCTTAAATTCAATTCTGGGTCTCTTCAGAATGATATGTATCAGAATGATTCTTCTCTTTCCGTCTCACCATCTGGCTCCTCATTTTCATTCATCAAAGGTAATGTAACCATTTGTGGTTAACCACGGATTGCCACTGTATTTGGATATATTACTATTTCATAAATTCTTTGAATTGCTTTGAAATCACTTAGTATAACAACCAAGGAGTCCTTTGAAAATTTACTGGCATACTCTAAAAAAGAACACTTAGACTAGAATAAAAAACAAAATCTGGTGTTGGGCAGCCACTGTCTCGTTATTTTATTTGTATATTCCATTTTTCTTTCCATCTAAGAAGTTTGAATACTTTAGTTTGGCTAGCGTGTTCATCATGTTGAACACTTGGACACCTTGACACTTGTAGTACATGTATCGAACACTCTTAGCATGGCAGATTTGTTAGACACTAGTTGTACAAAGTTAATTTCGGCCCACATGTATTGAACACTTGTTAAATATTATAAACTTTGATAGAGAAACCTGCTTCTTAGCTATTATGAACAATACTTCACGAAAGGAAAGAGATGGGATATTCTCCTTATTATTTTGCAGCCGGATATCCCTTTTTGCCTTTGGATCTAATGAACAGTCTTGCACCTGCAGGTGTGCTGCCAAAGTATTTCAAGTCAGAGTGGTCTGTTGCTCAGTTTCGTTTGCATGAAGGGTCTCGGTATGTTGTTGCGTTTGGTCACCAGAAGAATACAGTGGTGATCCTTGGAATGGATGGAAGGTAAATAGTCTTCGTAGTTCTTCTCTTACTATTGGGATTTTTTCATTTCTCTTTCAATTAATTATAATTCTGCAGAATAACAATTAAGATGAGGGTTGCTTGGGTATCCCAACTATGATTTCGATGATATTAGATAAATATTTTTAATGTGAACGCTTTATTTTCATAGACTGAAAATAGACAATATTTTATTTCTACTTTAACTTGAACCATTTGTTATTTGCTTCATTATCTTTTCTTTAGCATTGCCTAAGTTGTGTTAGCTTCCATTACATCTGGTATTCTGTTTGGTCGTTTAACTGCTGCGTTGGAAGTTTTAGAATCTTGATGTGCCATTTTCAATTATTGCAGCTTCTACCGATGCCAATTTGATGCGGTGAATGGAGGAGAGATGACACAGCTTGAATATCACAACTTTCTAATGCCAGAGGAAGCCTTCTAGCCCACTGTACTCTTTATTTCAGTTCTGTTGTATGCATATTCTCTTCCTAGATCCTCTATTGCTTGTAAATAGATCTATGCATGTACAGATTGGCCTATGTTCGTCTCAGGGAAAAAAAAGAAAAAGAAGAATTCTATTATTGCCCCCCATGTTCATATTTAATTTTCTTAACTTATTTGGCCTTGTGAACATTTCTTGATTTACCTGATGAAATCGAGACCTAAAATGAAGAGCTTACCATTAATGTATACATTCTTCTAAGAAAAACCTGCAGGTAGAAAAGTTGACCTAAATGATGGAAGACTTATTTATAGCGGAAGTTCAAGAAGTATACATATGAAGGTAACGGTATTTCGAACTGTAGCCTGCATTCTTTAGTGTATTTGAGGTATTAAAAATATGTCAAACTACTGGTGGAGTGTTTAGGGATCCGATTAGGCTTATTTAAAACGCACAGAAGTTTTCATGGTGGATGGCAAGATCCATGTAAGTTGTTTAGGTTTAAGGAGGCTTTATTGTATTTTTTAAGTTTCAGATAATTGTCTTTAAGATTATAAGTTACAATTAGTTAGTTGTCATTTCATAATGACAATGAAAGTTACATGATTAATTAAAAGGTTTATTTTCAAGGCTATAAATAGTCATTCATGTTACTGCTTTAGTATGAAGATTTTGGATATTATAATGAAAGTTGCATGTTATGCTTCTTAAGCCATGAGCTTGTTCGGTTGCATTTATTGTGTTTAGACTTGCATGCTAGAATTATTCAAGTAATCTTGATCAAACTATCTTGTGAACTTATTCGAATCTTAGAAACAAGTTTTCTTTACTTTTGATCTTAATCATCAAGGTAATCCGTTCCAAAACTTTCCCTTGGGTTGATTCTTGTCGTTTTTGGGATTCTTAGATTTAAAGGTTTTGTTTTTCAACAAGATTCTTAGATCAAATTCTAAGAGTTCCATAACAATATTTTTTTGCTTGAATTATCCGTTGGTTCGGTTATACTATGCTTTTAGAGATGATTAGGGACACCTAGGTTGAGAATAAGGAGAAAAGTAGATAATCTGATTACTGGACTGTTAAGTTTTAGCAGAAGTTAAGTTGCCAACTATGTTGTAGAGTGGTTTTGCCATTGTTTGCTTCTCTTCTGGAATATTAAGAAAATGATTTTGTTGGTGTGAAGAGCATTGATCTCAGCTTCCATGTTAGAATATGGGGAGCTTTTACTGATTAATAGGGAAAGATTATGAACTTTTGATAGTGGCATAGGCCAAGCTCTTAAATAAACCCTAGTTTTGATAGTGGCATAGGCCAAGCTCTTAAATAAAGCCTATAGTGGCATAGGCCAAGCTCTTAAATAAAGCCTTGTTTTGGTAGTGGCATAGTCCAAAAGCTCTCGAGTAAAACCTTGTTTTGATAGTGGC